TTTTGGTTGTTTTATTATAATAAAATCATACTTTAGATGGATGATAGAGTTTGTAGCCTAAAAGGCGTTTAAAGAGCATAGTCTGGAAGGACACATAGGCTACTTGCTTTGTTGTTTCTTGTAATACAACGCGAACAGAGTCGCGGACGAAAGCTTGTAAATAAGCCTTGACCCTTAACACGTTTATTGCCACATACTCTAACGAGCTCATTCGAGAAATTCATAAAAGCATGACATGTGTTAACTAGCATTCTATTCTAAAAATCTGTTTGTAGGTTATGTTATCGAATTTGACCATCAAGTTCGTATAGCAAACAATTTGTTAATGCGACACTGCGACGTAAACAACAAATATTTAAAAAATGACAACTGTTATATACAAATTGAATGTTTAACTAAATAGTAGAGAGTCGTCCGGTGGTCTTAGTAAACAAAAGTGCGTGTGCAGTACACTAGCGACTTACTGCGCAGTAAGACGTAATGACACTTTCACACGAAGGTTAAACTTTGACGCAGTGTAGTAGGATATTGCAATACTCCACTGCTATACTGTACTACCTCATTGATCTTCCTTCGTGTATAACTAATGTTATAAGGGAATGTGCGCTGTGCACCGGACGATATTGCGACCTGCTTGTTTACCCTTTACACGCCAGAATTCGTTCAGAATTAATTGCATGCTATGATAACCTATTCAAACCTCCTCTTTTAAATAAAACGTTTGTGAATATAATGTATAGAAAAATATTAACTTCTTACCTATTTCATCAATCGTGTCTTTCAAATGGTCGATACACAAATCGAATTGGAATTTACTCCGTCTTCAAGAAGGAAGTTACTAATAAAGACTAAAAAATACTTTTATTTACTTATAAAGAGGAAAGATTTGTATTTTTATATGTATTGAAATACATCCGATTTCAATTTTTTTTTAATTACACGCTGACACAGGTTGCGAGCAACTAGTCTTATGTAAATCTATATAAGAGAGTACGTTATCCAGATTTTTTATAAAATTTGCTAAATATAGAACAGTTTATTACCACGTAATTGTACATTGTACAACTAAAAAGCCATAAATGTAATTTATTTAGTATTTCAAATGTAAATAACATTTAGATACGGTAAAGAGTTCATCGTCGCGATGTAATCCTAGATCAAAAAGCAAATACTGAAACTAGTTTATCCTGTAAATTGTAATCTAGTCTAATTCGGCACACCTTATCAGCGTTGATATTTTCACATTCGCAATCTCCTGCACCTGATAACTAGCCCTGCCCTAGGTTAGTGATGTGACGACTCACATATCGATTGTCGATAACGAACACAACCTTGACATTATATCTGAATAAATAATCGGATTATGTAAACCTCCTATATCTACATTTTTTGATAACTTTCTTCATATAAGGACTCGAAAAACTTTCGTATATCAGTTGTTAAGTATTATAAATATCCAATCTAATATATATCGATTAAAACAGCGGCCATCACTATCTCCGTTGCACATACGTTATCGCGTTTTTATTAGTTCGTATAAACATTTATTTAGCAAACATAGAATAACGGCCCTGTCTACTTTCGCACTCTTTCTGTACGTCTATCGTTTATCGCTGTACTGAACAAACAAATTTACACATACGAGTGTAATGGCTACCTTGTTCATATTTTCCACAATAAATCATGATTTATAAATTAAAATTGTTCCAAAAGTAGTTTTATAATCAATACTATCTACGAGTATACTAATATTATAAAGAGGAAAGATTTGTATTTTTGTAAGTATTGAAATAACTCAAAAACTACTGGATCGATTTCAAACATTCTTTCACAATTAAAAAGCTACGCTAGTGTTTATATTTTTTTAATTCAATGTGGACGAAGTCGCGGGCAACAGCCAGTTTCTAATAAAATCCATAAATAATATCTTAGTTTTTAATTATTTATCATACGAATATAATAAATGCGAAAATGTAGCTGGATGGATGGATGTTCGTTTGTAGCCTAAACGGATGAAGGGCTTTCAATGAAATTTGGTATACATAAATGTAGAGGATAGTGTGGAAGAACACATAGGATACTCACTTTTGGTTTTTATACTCCACGCGGCCGGAGTCGCGAGCTATAGCTAGTAATTAATATTACAAATGCGAAAGTATAGATGGATGGATGTTGGCGACTACGAGTATAGAGCATAGAAAGACAAAGGCAACTTATTAAGTATCTCTTAATTCTACGCGGACGGAATCGCAGGCGACAGCTAGCATAAATAGAATTCCGATAAAGATATTTTTAGGCATCACATCAAACGTAAAAACCCCAACAGGAATTTCAATAATTCATATTTTCCTTTAATGATGTAAAACTAAGTGTACACAGTTCATTATAAACGTGTCTCAAGTAAAGTCGCGGTTGATGACTAGTCATATACGATATTATTGTACGGGTCAAAAGCCTTACAAGGAAGAGCACAGTTTTTTATTTATGCTATATGCAATTAATAGTTATTTAATTGCATAATAAATACAATTATTTATTGGTTTAACTACTTCTTCACTACTACACTGGTTTGACTTACTATTGGTGGCTAGCATTCCACCCTAACTTCTCCTGGGCGGCAAACAATATATGTCTTTTCTGTCACATCCAAACCCTTCCCTTTGGTGTCCTGTTTATTATACAGCATTAGTGAAAAAGTACCTTTCTGATGTCGAAATTCAATACAAATAATTAAATGTTTTATCTTTTTATTACTACTAGCTGTTCCCGTGCGGCTTCACTCGCATAAAATTATAAGAACTTTATTTTATTGTTTGCATTTGTCAAATACTCAATTGTAAATGTCAAAATGACATGACATTACAAACCTTAGCAATCTTGCTTTCTCATCTATGTTGGCAGGAACTTATGGTCCCACATTAGGGCTTTTATCAAAAATATTTATCCACTAAGTTTAATGGCGTGAAAATATATAGCCTAAAGCATAACGTAAGTGTTGGGCTTTTTATTAAAGAAAGAATTATTGAAAAATATGTTGTAATTGCTGACATCTTAGGCAACAAAGAAGTGTGTGTTTACGCTTTATTATAATAGTATAGAAGTATAGATATATTGTTTAAGCTGTTTACTTAATTACACGCCTGAACATTTACAATTAAAAAAAGGTGAAGAATACATTTTTCACATGACTGATAAGTCGTAGTATTTGCTAGATCACAAAGTAACGTAGCGCAGGTCAACGCGCTTTGTGCAAAGAATCAACGGCCCTACGCGATAAATTGTATGTAAAAATACTTCTCACGCTTATAAATCCTAAAGAACTTGTATCAAAATAATTTTTCAAACACGATACGCTTTGGTCGTGCGATATTCTCCCAGTAATTCTTAACTAAGCAAAGAGACTAGTTCTAAATTCAAAAGCGTTTTTATTTTTACTAAAACAAAACACTTATGTTTCCTTTCCTTGTCATCGCTATATTTTTAACGATTTTCGCCCAAAATTTTGACCTATATATCGACAACTAATGAACTTCTTGCTCATTAGAACTAAAAGAAGTTAACCAAAGAGTTTTTTCTCTATGATCAATAAGCATATACTGATAAGTATTCGTTTTTTTTTAATTTATAATTCTAGGTAAACACGCCGGTTTTGTTAAACTACAAATAGTTAGCGACACCGTTCGCTAGCTTAATTAATGGGGTCCGTTAATTTTCGCGTAGCGGGCAACCCTATTAGCCAACAGTTTAGTTGCCACGGTGTGGCCAGCCGTGATTAACTTACCGAGTTCAAAGGGCCCGCGTAGCTTTAAAAACTGCCAGGCTATTATTAAAACTGAAGTGTAAAAAATATATTTATATTTTTATAGAGAATAGAGTATTAATTTAGGTGTAAATATTTTACATCGTGTTAATTTGGGAAAAAAAGTATAAAATAAAATATTGTTTGCATGGTAAAATATAGCTTGGACTGGTGAACAACATATTAAGATGTATCAAATATCGTGGTTATTCACTTACCAATTCAAAATCAGAGATTTTTACTAAATAACAATACAAATAACATGCACGGTTGGTGTGTTCGTTATGTAGATAAAGTCACATTCTCTGACGTTAACTCTTCGATTGACGACTTGAATTATTAGACGTTATTGACTTACTTATTTAAAGTTACTAAATGTAGTTAAAACTTACTCAGTTACACCATTTCATAGACTTATACTGGTCTATTACGACTTTATTATTCAGATGTGTCAAGTTGACAAAACACATATGTACCGTAACCGAAGCGTGACGTAAGAGACAATAGTCTCAACGTATGAGAACATAAAGGTAAAACTAGCACGTCGCTAAATGTAGAGCCGCTCGTTGATTCCGAACTTACATAACCCGACAAAAGCTTCGAAGGCTTCATTCACAACGCACGCACACATACTCACGCTCTATTTACATACGTCCACACACGTCACAACTACGTGGAAACTCCAACCGCCATTTGCCCACTTTCACTTTCGACGAAAGCCTACATAGTTTGCGTGCCGAGGGACCGTCAGCGATTGGACACTAAAAGATTGACCTTTGCCGCGATTGGATCGTTCGCCTCTATGTATCCGGTGTTTACGGATATAATGTACTCACTCGTATGTTTCCGGGCGGATCGTAACGGTTTTCGGGTCTATTTGCTTTAGGTATTCACGTTGTTTCTACGTGGGCGATTTAACGCCTTTCATGACTGAAAAGCGGTCAGTTTTACACTTCAGACCTGATTTATATTTCATTAGTCTATTAACTAAGTCATTCTTAATTCTACATTCTGATATATTTGGATATAAAACTAATGAATGAAGAAAGGTAATGTTTGTACTTCACTACTTCGTCTACTCTTAGACAAGCCTTGACTGGGAAATCTTAGTGTCAAAAAATTATAAAAGGATTTTTCAATATCACGATGTGAAAAATTTGCTGACAAATTCATTACTAATTAAGTATTCTTTTTGTTGCAGATTTAATTGAAAAAGAAGTCGTCTAAGAAGGTCTTGTTACGCGTTACGGTGAGTACCTCTATACCAATCTAAACACACGCAGAGACATTAATAGGTTGCCTAGCAGCACCTTAGTTCAGATTTCCCAGACAAATGTACACTTTATTGAGTTTTTGAGTTAACAAATTAATGTTCTTTATTGAAACGACATGATTCACAAAAATAGTCAAACAATGGAATCGAACACGCGACCTCATTTTGAAATTCTTAAACCAGTATAACATTTCCTCTACATTCTTTATGATTTGTCATTTAAAAATAAATTTCAATTGATTGAAAAAGTCACAAATAGTAAAATATCGTTGGATGCGTTCAATATTTTTGTAAATGATTACTAAAATTCTTTACAACGCCGCCAGTCGGATTCGTTATCAAGAAAAAAAACTAAAAACTTAGGCATTATCTAGCTTAGTGTCAGAGCTATCGGCCGGCATGTGACCTACCTACTGCTTATCAAAAATCACATTCAAATTTATAATAGGTATTTACTATGGCAATATCTATTGATTGACGTGGCAACGAGCCACAGCACCGGCTGGTCAATTTATCAGTTAATATTTTTTTTAATAATGTAAACATGCATATCATAAAATTAAATTAAAATTTAGTTTTTTTTACACTCGCACGCTGCTAGCATTACCGCGACTTCGTCCTCGTGTAACTATCAAAAGAACTTTTTCTATTCATGCTAATATTATAAATGCGAAAGTTTAGAGGATTGGATGTTTATTAGAGTTTGTAGCCTAAACGGCTGAACGAATTTCGATGAAATTTGGTATAGATGTAGAAGATAGTCTGGAAGAACACATAGGCTACTCACTTTTGTTTTTTTTTAATCCACGTGGACGGAGTCGCGGGCGACAGTTAGTAATAAAATATAGCCTGTGTTACTCGATGGTAATGTTACCTTCTCAACAGTGAAAAACTTTTTTATTAATCGGTTCAGTTTGCAAAGACTATTCAATGCAAACAAACAATCGAATCATACCTCTTTATAATGTTAGTATGCATTACGTCCAGGAATTTACTTGTAATTAAGGAAGTATATAAAATAACCTCATATTATTGTAGTGAAACTACTATTGATTTAAATTCATCACATTATCATGTAATGGTTAAATCCAACCGCAAAAAATTTAGAAAAACAAATAAAATAAAACATTTATTAAATAAAATCCGAAAATGAATTATTATAAAATAACATCGTTTGAATAGTTACATCTAATAAACTCAACTATGTAGGCGATAAGGTATCAGGTAGCCTAGGTCTTTGATAAAAAGCTAAATTTACAAAAAGTGCGATAAGTCGGGGCTATCAGCGGCCGCGCGGGAGTCGGGAGCTCTCAATTCGTTCATTTAATAATGTAGAATTCCACTGTCGTATATTGATATAGCCTCTCTTAAAGTCTTAAAGAGAAAGAGCTCGGTGTAGTTCCACGGTAAATTTTGAGCATTAAAATGTAACTGCTACCAGTCTTGGCTTCTCATTGAGTTTTACACTTACAAGCGGTAGATGGCGCTGTCGTAAAATTAAAATAACCCTCCAAATGTTTCAAGCAAAATCTTTTTGCGTAACTTCTCCCACAATGAGACCCTGACACGTTGTTCTTGGTTTCACAGTTTTAAAATATACCCATTTCATATGTATTCTGGGAATAACGCTGGGAAAAATATATTTTACCTTATTATCCCAAAGTAATTTTAACGAATCTATTATGATAACGATTCGAATGACGTACTAGATAATATTTTAATAATAGATTGCTAATAAATTTAATAAAAAATAATATACATATTTTATAACGCAATAATAAATAAAAACTAAGTTCTTAACGCCATAACCTCTTTATTCTAATAATCAGGTTTTATGCCGTTATTTGTTTACTGCCATTTTAATTTTGCTATTTCGGTGATTTGCCAGCGATGTAAAAAACATAAAGTAAAGTAGTAAATCAATTCTTGTATATTCAGTCAAAAATTGACAGTAACTTTAACTGGGATGAATGCAAGAGCATTCTAGGTAAAGATCCAGAGTCTACGTCACTTTCTCGGAAATCGTGTGCGATAAAATAATGCCCTTGAGAAGAACACACGTTACTATGTGTGGTGAACAGCTTTAGGGTAGGCGGCTGAATGACCGCCCAGGGCGCTAGACCGACAAGGGCGACCTAGGTTTGCGATTTACTAAAAATAACCCTGTTCACATCCCCCGTAATACTAAAAAAATAGTCACCAAAGAAATCTAGACCAGGGAGATAGTCGCGCTAAAAATATTAACGTGTGTGTAGTAAAATAGTCAAGTAAGTAATTTAACTTAAGTGATAGTTTAAATAAGTTAGAGCCTTCTTTAAATCAGACTTTACCGATATTAATAAAATCATAGTAGTTTTTGAGAATATACGATCAGAAAAGGTCTTTAACTTGTTGTCAAGGTTAAATTATTAGCGAAATGTCACATTATATTATTAACGCATACCTTAGTGCCGTATGTGAGTATAGAACTAATTCTATTTATCATAGTTTCTAAAATGTTATCGCAATGTAGCTGATAAAATTTACGAAAAAAGAATTTGAGGAACGGATAGATTGATAGACGGATTGGTTCCGTATAATAAAATAAACATGCGTACTTGGAATCTCCTTCATTCGGAATTGGATCAAAAAATTTATATCTGTACTAGTATTATATACTAGGAAAATTTTTTATTTTTGTAAGTATTGAAATAACTCAAAAACTACTGGACCGTTTTCAAAAATTCTTTCACCATTAAAAACCTACCTTATTAGTGAATTAAAAAAGGCTGTTTTTAATATTTTTATTATTTCACGCGTGCGAACTCGCGCGCAACAGCTAGACATTAATCTTCTTTTCATTTTGTCAGATATCTTTTCGTCATTCATCCTTTTATGGAACATCTTATAAAGTTCACTTCCTGAAATGGTTTTATTTTAACGCCTTATCGAACCCTAAAAGATTCGCTATCGGATCTATAATGCAAATGATAATGCATGTGTTATGTTATCATTTCTATTGCAGTATCAAGCTGCAATCGAATTACTCACTTGAAGTCAAACTATTAAAGTCCAATTTTGTTCAATACACACTAGTACATAGAGATCGTAAGATATAAATGGGTATATAGCGTTAATTCTGATTTATAATACGAGTAAAGGTGCGAATTAGACAAAGCGTATTCAATAACAAAAATAGGTTTTATCTAAATGGGAACAAAACGGCCATTTTTGTGAAGCATTTTTTTAGGGCAAAGGGTCAAGTGACAAGCGTTAGCTAGAATACAGATATATCATCAAAATAATTTATATACTAATAAACTATTGCAGTAAGAAATGTTTTTAATTTTCGGATTGATTAAATTTCTTCAATATATACAATAACTATAATTAAGTTAAGAATTTAGTTTAAATTAATCTGTTTATTTGAATAATTTATAGAGCTTCAACTGTCAATTTTATCAAATGCCCGCATGAGGCTACAAAAACCAATTTCAGATAGAGCAGTGAGCTCGGGGCTGCAGGCTAGAACAGGATTTCAAAAATGATTTATAATAAATATTGTGACCTTTAGACGTAATTAATGATGAAAACTTGTGCTATACTTGGGCTAGGATTACCTTTAGGAATGATTTGGTAAAAAAATCAAAAATTGTACGATATTTGACTTACATATGCCCCAGACGAGAAGTTTGAGAGTAGCCCCAGTGGTTGAGAAACTAAGGAGTAAAAGGTATGGTCATATTATGAGGACGAATCGCATGTAACAAAGACACTAGTTATGAATGTGGGGTACACCGGTAGTAGAGCTAGAAAGAGATTGATGGATTGCGTGAAAGGTAACATGATGAGGGAGTGAAGACTGAGACGGATGATAGAGTTACTTGGAGGACGAAAACCCAGTGCTGACCCTATGGGAGTAGGATAAGATAGGGGAGATGAAGATGTGCCTTATACGAAATAACATTCGATTATAAATATCATCAAAAAGTCAATAATGTAACTAAATCTTTATTTAAGTTACGTGCTTATCGTCTATTAGTTCTTATGATGACACATTTTGTAGTTTCTAGAAGCGATATCGCAAAATTTGATATTTCGCTTTTAAATTATACCACATACAAGAGTGATCTTTTCATGATTTGAATAGCAGAGGTATTTGCTATGTGGCGGAATAACATGATTTAATGTCTTTCATAGAAATCGTCTCTATTGGGGTGTTTGTTATAAATAGAGAATTTAAACACGTTTCCTCTCACCCTCGAGGTTTAGAAATACTAATATTCCATCAGCCATCTTTAATCTTATTAGTAAACTAGCTGTTCCAGTGCGGATTCATCCACATGAAATTATGAAAAATTGATTTTATTGTTTACATTTGTCAAAATGACATGACGTGATTAACCTTGACAATGTTTCTTTCTTAATGTTGGCAGCAACTTATGGTCTCTTTCCCACCTTGGGTTGTTATCCAAAATATTTACCCCCTAAGTTCAATTGCGTGAAAATATATAGCCTAAAGCATGACGTAAGTGTAGGGCTTTTTATTAAAGAAAGAATTATTGAAAAATATGCTGTAATTGCTGACATTTAGCAACAAAGAAGTGTGTGTTTACGCTTTATTATAATAGTGTATTATATTATATTATATTTAAAGTTTTTAAGCTTTTTGCCTTTCTATTATAAAACTCATAAGAGTAAAAAAAAAACAAGAAATCAATTTTAAAAGCCTGCTTTAACTTACTCTCTACAACGAAAATGGTTAGGAAAAAGTTCTAGAAGTAAATATATCTGTAAAGACTATAACCATCCGTTAACAAGGTCAAGTATTCGTCGACATAAAAGAATCTCAAAGTCAACGTATTTTAATGTGCCAAATAATTGTAACATTTATTGATACCTAATTATTACATGACTCACTGCAGTGAAATTAACAGTCAAGCGATAAATGCATAACTCTCATTAGATTTGAGACGTAAAACGTTAAACGAAACATACCCTGATTTTGTGTATTCGACTACCATTCGATTATTATTATATGTATCCAAGCTTGAGCTTTATTGTAATAAAAAAGAGGAAAGATTTAGTTTTTTTGTATGTATTGAAATAACTAAAAAACTACTGGTTTGATTTCAAAAATTATTTCACCATTAAATAGCTACATTATCAGTGAGTCTAGCAGTGGTAGTGCCCGCTTTAACATCTTAGCACTTAGGGCCGGCACGCCCGGTGTAATACCATGACCACACAGAAGACAGGCGTGAAATGGAACCAATGCCGTGTTTCGTCTGATGAGTGTGGTGCCGGAGGCCTAATTTAAGTCCCTTTCTCTTTACCACCCTTTTCTTATAAGGAGAGGATGGGAAGGAGAAGTGGATTTGACGGTGGAGGAGATGAATAGGAAGGGGCAATATCCTCTTTATGTGCGTCTCCTCCTCCGTCGGATAAAGGTAGGCAACGCATCTGCGATCGCGGATGTCTATGGGCAGCGGTCGCTTCTCCATTTTGGCGGACTCAGGTGGCCGCTAGCTCGTTTGCCACCTTATGTTATAAAAAAAAAGAGTAACAAGCTTTTTTTTTTTTTTAATTTCACGCGGGTGAAGTCGCGAGCAACAGTCTAGTATCAAATAATTCGTTAATAATTAATTACAAAAAATACAAGTTCGATAGCCAAGATAAGCAGCTCACATACCAAGTGGTAATCCGAGGAGCATTGTCTGCACTCGGTCACTGGGACGTATTGTCTACGATTTGTTGAAAAACTTCAGACCATACGACGTGCGTTTCATGCCGTTCATTAACACCCATCACCACCTTAATGTAAAGGGAATAAGGGATACATTCCATTGTATCGTAACTCGTATCGCATCGAAAGCGATTTTCAGAAATACATTAGAACTATGCGATTCTTTGTTACATAATTGCTGTTGTTTTGTATCAAATTTTGTTTACATTGACTTAACAACATAGTAGTTAAGTGGTTATCTTATTATGTCGTGGACACTCCTTCGATTCCCAGATTTTCTGACAGAATGCCAATTAAATATTAGTAAAAATCACTTTTATAAAAAAAAGAAAAAACAAATCTTACGTAAATCATGTCAAACGATTACAGAGACCTGCAAAACTCCAAATTAAAATTACCTAAGTTCCAAAGTAGAAACAAAACGTTGAAACAAACCCGGTTAATTTGTTGTGGTTTTGAACCACAGGAGTAATTAAGTCTATTGAAACTTGCTTTTACTTTTCCAAGCCGAATACTTTCTTACTTCATGCTTTTCATCGAGTTTGCGAAACCTTAGAAAAAGGAACAATTTTTCTTATATCTTGTAACTCTATACGAAGTTAATTCAATAAGCTTTTAACTACAAATACAATGCTATTTCAAACTCTTGGAATTTTGTAAATTTGCAATCGTCACAATACACCGACCTCGGAGATTTCTACGGGAAACCCTTAAGAAAACTTTGCCAATGAAACGCGACATTTGTTCATAATACGTTTACTTTGTCAAGTTTCTTTTTAATTATTTTCTATTCAATTCTTTTCAAATGTTTCGTAATTCTCTGTGGTATTGATAATCAAATAATAAAACCAGTTTATAATTGTAAACCCTTTTATTCTTTAAATAGTTATTCTGGCTAATCCAACCCGAGACAAACAGCAATGACTTGCTATTTAAAACTTTTTTTTACCATATTTGACATATTTTACTTTACTTGCGTAAATCTGCGGCCGTATGTCGAGGTCTTAACACCCGCAACTTGTAATTAAATATACATGCAGCTTAATGATAACAATATCTTAGCACTGTTAGTGTTCCTATTTCTTAACAATAAAACAATAAATTATAATAAATAAAACATTACATTAAAAATTAGGTCAGAAAAGATAAAAATATAACATTGTACACTTGTTTACTGCACGAGTTATTGTGCACGCGCCCTAATTACCGCGTAATAACAAACTAGACAGCACCACGATAAAGTGACGGATAGCTTTCTATTTCAGGACATGCATACAACAACTTTAAAAACAAACAGACTTTAATTGATAAGAAAGCTTTATCTGCATATTTAACATAAACAAACCCACACATCGTAAACAATGTGACATCTCGCTAATATGTGACTATTGTCCGCAGATCGCCAGTCCGAACACATGACTCCATAATCCGCACGAAACAAACGATACCGTAATCAGACAAGATGGTGGACACGCAGCACTTCTGTCTGCGCTGGAACAACTACCAGAGCAGCATCACCAGCGCCTTCGAGAACCTCAGGGATGACGAAGATTTCGTCGACGTCACCCTCGCCTGCGACGGCAGAAGCCTCAAAGCTCATAGAGTCGTACTCTCCGCCTGCAGCCCCTACTTCAGGGAGCTTTTAAAGGTAAGGCCCAGAAACAATACAACGAGTCAACTTATAAGAATGTTATATTACGTATCTTTGAATAGTTTAGAGTGTCAATACTTGAAGACAATTTGTGAATAAAATTAAAATTAATATAGAATAGTCTGTTTAGTCTCAGCGTATAAGTAAAAACTTATTTATATCGACAATACCTATCGGACCTGAGCCTGAGCAAACATTTGCGCAGGTGAAAAATATTACGTCACTAATACATAGATAAGAAATAGAACCAAGTACTTAGTTCTCTTTTGCATTATTTTAATAATAACAATTAAATAATCCGGTTCTGTTGAATATTAGGTGGTATTTTAAATATTCGGTACATTGTTCCGCAGTCGACGCCATGCAAGCACCCAGTGATCGTGCTCCAAGACGTGGCCTTCACGGACTTGAACGCGCTCGTCGAGTTCATCTACCACGGCGAGGTGAACGTGCACCAGCGCAGTCTCTCCTCCTTCCTCAAGACCGCTGAGGTACTGCGCGTCTCCGGACTCACACAGACTGACGACTCGCAAGGGGTAAGTAATCATTTAGTGCCATGTTGTACGTAATATAGGCTTACTTAAAAAGACATTATGAAATACAGCATGTAAAACGATTGAAACACCTAATAACTTCCACAGCCGCTCCTCCAGAACTTAACGCGAGCTGCGGCCGCGGCGGCAGCCTCCCCGCGCACGCCGCCGCACCCCGTGCATACTCCGCACACGCCCCACACCCCGCACACCCCCGGCTACACCGACAAGCTGGAGGAGGCTCTGCTATCGCACCCGCCTGCAGCCGCGCAAGCCCTGCTGCGCCGCGCCCCTCCGCCGCCGCGCCGCCTCAGCCGCTCCGCCGACAACTCGCCCGATGTAATCAAGCGCATACGCCACGACAACAACAACGACCAGCCACAGATACACGCCGCCGACTTCTCCACCAAAAACCACTCGATGGTGAACAATACGCGCGCCCACGACCAGGGCAATGGGAACGGCATCTCTAACTCCTCCTCTTCGCCATCCCCGCGTCTCGAGGACGTCAAGCATGAGCCCATTGACATGATTTGCGCCTCCAATGCGGACCTCGACCGCAGCGCAGACGACACGCCGCCGCACTCGCACCATCGGTCCATGGTGAGTCTTGTCACTATAATTACAATAAACTAATTTCTTTAAATACAATATCAAGTTTGATCCCCTACTATGAAAACTATGATAGCCTGGTAGTTCTGAGCAGTCTAGCTTATAACGATGTTATCATAAACTATAAAATATAATTCTGTTTATATTCTCCAAACCGATACGTTTGAAATTCAAGCTGTCAAAACATTATAACCTCGTCCGCCGTCGCTTAATTGACTTGACATTGACATTACTGAGTATTAGAAAGAAGTCTAACGAACTAGATACCTCTACCCGGAACTCGGCGAGTGTCCGGTGACAGCCGCTATTGTTATACCATGGTATGCTAGCCGCAGTGACAGACAGATCGTCTGCATCGTATTAGATCATTACTGCGAGCATATAATCTATTAAAAAAAATCATTATGCTAATTTCTCATATACCAGGTATTTCAAAATAATTCTAAAATCATGGAAAGCCTGCATCTGATTTAATTTTTTTTTTTCAGTAATTAACTCTTTTTTGTTTTTTTTTTAAATGATTTTTTCGATGCCAGGCTTATAGATCATAGAGTAAGTAAAAAGGGTAACATGAGTTTAATGCCTAGATGATTTTGTCTCAGGGCGGGCCGCCGTCGCGCGGCAGCTCTGCGGAGGCAGACGACCGTACTCCGCCGCCGCAGCTGCCACCCTCGCCGTTCATCCCGCCAGCGGACACCAAGCTCTTCGCCCCATCTAACACTTACAACTTCAGCATGGCGGCTCTCACTGAGCATTCATCTTTGGCGGGTAAATTATAATTTTTATCTTAGTGTCGTGGTATGTTGATGTTGTGTTAATGGTGTGGTATTTATTTTGAAAATTAATGAAACTATAGCAACAACTACCTGTTGCCTATGACTTTATGTATTTTTAATTGTCTGTTAAAGAATTAATCTCCTTATCAGTTCCTTTGTTGCTTTCGAGTTAAAAATCATCAACAGCTGACAAATTATTTAGGGTACGATACTCGTAAATATATTCAGCTGTGCCAAAGCAGATCCATTGAATGCCTTCCAATAGAAGTAGGTGGGCATGTGTTGGATGTGTAGCGGGGTATAAAGCGGGTGTGTGTGTGGTTGCAGGTCTGCCGAGCCCGCTGGCGCCCGACGGCATGGCCAGCACCTCGCAAGGTGAGTCGCGGCTTCTCTAGCAGCAAATTTATTTTATGCATTACCTACATATATTGAAACAAACGATATTTTTAATGCACTGTCTGTCGTATGCCACCATCACCGCTTCCTCTCTGCTCTGTCATTATTAGGTTTATATATCATAATAGGTTTATATTTACAAAAAAAAATGTATGAGGCAATATCACGTGACCTATATATATGTACTATATTATCTATGTATATTCATCCTCTTAACCTATATTTATATATGTCTTCATTTTGTGCTCTGTGTTCTGTACTAAATATAAATGTTAGCTTTTGTGTTTTGGTTCCATGTACCACGATCTAGTCGTCATCCGTTTTCATTTGCCAGACCGTTACAGTTTCAGTTTGAAAAATGAGAATCGATCATTGAACCAAAACTCAACGTGGCGTGCATGTTTATTGTATTGTAACTAGTTTATTGTAACCGTACAAGGAAGATATGCCAGCTTGTTTTATAGATGTGTCTTAAAGTATACGCTAGGAGATATCCCTCGATCCCATTTTCCAATTTTAAGTTTCATTTCCTTTTTATTCAATGGATTGGTTTTCATAATACCGTGTCATCTGATTTGAAATTCATTTTTGACGGGAAAAAACAGCAAAAGCACTCGTACCATACAATTGGCTGGAAGTTATCGTGTCGAAAATACTATGTAGAGAAAGAAACAATTGCGAGAAGACGATTCCGAAAGTAGCATGCGAAAAATTCACCGCCAAGCATCGTATAGCATAATAATTGTATTCCGGTAATGAGTTATTTATTTAAAACGCACGACGGATCCCATGAGTCATTCATGTTTCTAAAAACAGTTTCGTATTACCCTTAATCATTATTGTCTTGAGAAATATAACGATCGGGACATCCAAGATTGGACAATGGATTTTTTAGTAATGGTCACCCGGTGTCGAATTATATTAAAAAACAGACATTCAGTCTCATTGAAGAATACTAACGCTTTTGTTCGAGAAACTCGAGCGCCGGCCGGAACCGCCGCCGCGCGTCGCACTGTTATGACAACGGCAGACTTAATTCATCACAAACGCCGCAGAGCTTTGCTAAGCCGTATTTAGGTCGAACTAGGACACAAAAACATGTATGCGTTACTAATATCGCTTGGCATTATTTACGGCGCGGAGGATGGCTATCATCAAACTGTAAAGGGGGGTGGCGGTGCTTACAAATAAAAGTAAACCAATAATCGTGAGGCAGCGATAAAGAGAGTGCATTAAAAGTGCGTTCGGAAGCTTCCACCGGGCTAACTGCTTGTGTTGTGACCAGGTGGCGCCCGCACCCCCCAGGAAGATTACAGATGCGAGCCCTGTAACAAGAGCTTGTCCTCCCTGACGCGGCTCAAACGGCACATTCAGAACGTTCACATGAGGCCCTCGAGGGAGCCCGTCTGTAATATTTGCCGACGGGTATACTCCAGCCTGAATAGTCTGAGAAACCACAAGTCGATCTACCACCGCAAGCAGCAACCGCCCTCCGCCACCGGACAGGGCCCCTTCTACCCCGTCAATTGACGCCCGTCACATCCGTTGCCGATCACGTTGCCATTCGAAGAACTAAAGCTGCCATCCTTTACCACCTAAAACGCCATAGTCTTGCCCTTAGAAAATTGTTAAGTTTACGAAAACAGATTTGTAAAGCGATATGTTCCTAACATTTGTACATAGAATAGTTTTACGTGTACTTTGCATGCGCACCGCCAGACTACCGTATATAATTTGTCCTGAGGTCGTTACTAAAACCCAAGGCAGGCGCGAGCGTACCGCGCGGCCGCCCGGCGCCGGCGCGCTACGCTCACGCCCCTCTCTGGAACCAATTGGAACTATAATCGGTACACGCATAACCACCAACTTAAAATTTTAATTGAGCGCATTAGTCAAATTCGATTGATCACGTTAAATTGCCTCTACAAGCCATGTCGGTTCGCTAAATTGCCACGTATCAGAGTGGCACTAAATCGTGCCAATTGGTTCCGAACGAATGGGACCCGTTGGAGCTTCGCAGTGGTGTTGGTACCCATGGCCCCGACGTGGGGGTCGGTTGACTAATGCGCTAATGTTGGTTGTTATGTGTGGCGCAGTGGGCCCCCTGGGCGCGGGGCACCGCTGCGAGGTGTGCGGCAAGCTGCTCTCCACGCGGCTCACGCTCAAGCGGCACACGGAGCAGCAGCACCTGCAGCCGCTGCACTCGGCGCGCTGCAGCCTCTGCCACAAGGTCTTCCGCACGCTCAACTCCCTCAACAACCATAAGAGCATCTACCACCGCCGCCAGCGCGCGCTGCCCGCCCTGCCCGCCCTGCCCGCGCTGCCTGCGCAGACGCAGCCGCAGAACCTCACCACGCAGGACCCCAAGCTCGCCCACAATATCGACTTCTACAAGTTCAAAGACCACTTCAACGTCTAATCTCAAACCATGCAACTTAAAGCAATATCATTTTTAATTCTTGTCTTCTTTTTAACGTTAGATCATTTTAATATATCTTAGACGATTTATATTTTTAACTATATCGAGGATGTGTTGTAGAAATTGCCTATTGATTCTATTTACAATATATGTTTAATCTTTGAACTGTAGGAGTGGGTGTTGTCCGCTCGGCCGACGCCCGCGCAGGCGGCCAGCGGCGCGGTGACATACGTGACATCACAATTAGCTATATGACATTCCAAGCGACGAAAGGGAGAGTGGAGTTTGACGATTTAATGTTTGAATTTTTTGAGAATTGTTATCAAATGGTGCCACTTGCACGTCCGCGAGGTGCAATACTGCGGTATGTGGGATATTCCTGATTTTTACACTATGTTAATGTGTGACAATAAGGCGAAGAGAAATAATAATATTTTGAGAAAAGAGAAAAATCTTGGTGCTGTAAATTTATATATTAGGCTTAAATTTATAAAAAAAAAGAGAAACAGTGTTCGTTATAAGAAACAAAAGAGGCATATAATTTGTAACATTGTGTTCATTTTCGGCGTTTCGCAAGTTTATTTATTCTGTATTTTACCTTCTTGATCTCACACTTAGATATTTATACGAGATTACTAAAAAAAATCTATTTAAAGTTAATAAAAAATTATATACACAGATATATAATTGGCTAATGAGGCTTTCAAATTTATATTTTATTTAGGTGTTTTCTTTTTGTTCATTGATTAAGACTGAAACAATCGGAAAAAATAGCACCAATAGAAAAGTTTCTTTGTAAATGACCCGCGGGCCATGTCACTCAACACACACAAACACATACAACACAACACACATGCAATACAACCAATACAAGTACCAGTACCGAAGTAGACCGAAAGTAAAAATCCACCGAACAAACACATACCACAGAACAATATAGTAGATTTCGCTTTTTTTTTTCAAAGTCGACGCTATTTCATTTTATGGCTTGTCTTTCTAGTCGACTATATTTTGTCACTTGCTATCTTTTTTTTACTTTTTTGTTATATTTGATGCACAGACGAAGGATTACTTAGCAAAGTGAATCGCAAAGTGCCATTTAAGCAAATGATTTATGGCTATTTTATTATATATGTTTTTATTTTATTTAGTGAAGATGTTTAGTTTCAAACGTAAGTTTTAACGCACTCTTGTGTTCGTTTCTAATATTTTTTTTATTATTTTTTACTCGTTGACATTTCTTTTTACGTTTCTTTATTTAAATTATTTAATCTGTACTCTTTTTGAACGGTTTTTTTTACGTTACAAAGTTGCTATTTCGTTTTTAAAATTGTAAGTAAATGACGCGCTAATGATAAAATAATTACATTGTAGGTAACTATTAAATTGTAATAACTGTCAGTGTTAAATGTTCCTAAATTTGAACAGTGAATAATTTTCCTTTACGACGTCTCGCTTGCCATACATAGTGTTTATTAATACCTTTACTATTGCAAACGAGCATTTATATACTAGTCTAGATTCAGAAAGCTCACGTAATTACATAGATTATAAATAATAATTACTATAATATTTTCCATTCGATGTACATCGCTTTTCTCGTCTGCGCCGTTACATAGTCTTTGTGTTAGGAAACCTGTACAGCTAATACCTTCAGTTTCTGAACGATAGTGCTTGTAGTAAGTCAGTCTCCTATCTCTTCTGGATCTAGACTTTCGCGTTAATGTTAATCCATATGTAGATTTGGTTATATACAATACATTATATATGTTTTCGTTACACAACTATACTCTACAATTATAGTTCAATTAATACATCACTATATCTATGTCGACTCGTATTGTCGGTAACTATTGTTATTTTTCCCTTTTTTCATAGCAATAAGAAATTTTTAATCTAAGTGTAAATGTAAAACATAATTTATTGTAACGATATACAATTTAAGTAATTATTAGTGCCTGCTTTACATAATTATGATTGTGTTTTTATGGAAAAAGACATATTTTGCGTAATCTTCTAAAAAAGTTAGGAGTAGTGTTCAACACTTTGCCTAGAAGGTAACGGATCAATGCTGATATACTTTTAATGAGAGGCTTCCTAAAATAAAATTTAATGCTATTATGTTATAAGGTTTACGTTGTTATTACTAGATGCATAAACGCTTAGCCATTACTCTTTGTTTAGTTATTTGATAAGCTTTATTATTATTCGTTTAAATGATTGGAAAGACTAGTGTTTTGGTGCTAAAACGGAACGTCGTTCGTCTTAGAAAAATTGTTAAGCTAAAATGGTATAAAAAAATTCGTAAAAGGAATCAAAATTTGTTTTTAAATTTTTCGCAACATTCCGTGCTTCGAGAGAATGTTAAGTTTTTTTTGCAACAAATTGCAAATATTGTAAGACGTAGTAATTGTTGTTTTATTTTACGTAATATAGATGATAGTTTTTACTGTTAATTTGGGTTTGGGAATTAAGTTAGTTGACTACTTAGATGTAAGTTTTATCTGAATTCATAGATGTTAGTTCATCTACGTTACTTTACAATTACAGGGATGTGCTGCTGAGAGTGGCAGTACGGTAATTATTTGGCTAATTTCTTTCTAGCTAAAAGATCTTATGATATTAAATTATTTGTTTTTTGTTGATCAAAAATGATTTTGCCAAAAGTAATAAACGCTATAGACTGATTAGACTAAGTCCCGTTTGAATTGTACACTATTAGGCGTATTCTCTAGATTAAAATTGTACAATTATTTACTAAATTAACTAGTGATTTTATATGGAAAAAAAAGTCACCAAGTCGGAAGCGTATTTCGGTATTTTATCAAAATTTCTGTTGTGATTTTTGGATCTTAAAAATTTTATTTATATCGTAGCTGCTAAGTTTAACGGGATCTCAGGGGACCTTTTGGTCCTCGTGGGTTTTAAAGGGCGATAACTACACCGTGTTCTAGGAAGCAGAACACATCCCTGTTGAAACTACATTAGTTAGGATCTTAGCAAGTTTAAGACTGTTTCTGTGACCTGTTTAAGTTTTTTTTTTATCTTTCTAACGTGTCATGTACGCGTTCGGCGCACGTGTGTGTGCCACGCGCAATGTTCGATGTGTTCTTATACTTCTTGTTGGCTATTTTACCTATTTTATAAGGAATCTAAATTAATTTATTGGTTGTTGTATTGAAATTTTATTTTTTTTTCTTCTTAAATTATTATACTATACTATCCTTCGATTTGTTTTTGTTGATAATTGGCACTTATAAATGTAATGCAGTCCATTACAATACTTGTTCTCGATGTGCCTAAATTTATTATATGTTTTTGTCTTCCATTTGTCGCGATTTAACTCATTGGAACTATGAAATGTATGTTTGTAACCATTTCATTTATTAACATTATATATAATCTGTCATCTGTCATCGGCGACCTATAATGGGCTGCACATAAACTATGTTTACATCCTCCTACATATGTATACCTAAATAGTTCTTTCCCCCTTTATAATTTAAAAGTAAATACTTGACGTAACTACTCATAAAATGTAATTGTAATCGTTAAACGGAACTTCATAAATCCTAATATTGATGATAATGGCGTTTTTAATAAAAACAAATATACAATGTCGATAGTTTTATTAAAACATCCCTATTAACAAGATGTCAACTTTTCAGGCAAAGGTAGTTACGAAATGGCGCTTTTTGTAGTATTATGTACTAGTGCACCGTTACCTACTTGTTTTATTCTGGCAGCGCTTCACAATCCCGGTTTTTGAGCCTCGATGTTCCCCGCAACCTCCGCATGTCATTTGTTCTAACACATCACCGCCCACTGTAGCTTCGCCATCATTTATATTTTATTTTTTTATTATTTCGTTATTTAATTTATTATTATTTGAGACACTTTTTGTTTATTTTTTTTTCGTCAATAAGTTCAAAATAATTAGAGACCACTAAAGAATAGTAGGTTCACTTTGTTTGAGCGTCCGGGGAGCACCCCCATATTTGTTTTGTTTTTTCGATTTGTTTGCAGGTAAAAAGTTATTCTCCTGCTCGCTTTGCGGGAAAGTATTATGCTCAAAGGCGTCGCTGAAGCGGCATATCGCGGACAAGCACGCCGAGCGGCAGGAGGAGTACAGGTGCACGATTTGCGAGCGCGTCTATTGCTCGCGCAACTCCCTGATGACGCACATATACACCTACCACAAGTCGAGGCCGGGGGACACGGATCACATACGATTTTTTTAGTGACTACTCGGGCGGAGTTGGTGCGGCGCGCGGCGGCTCTCGGCTAGCAAAGAGAACCTCCAGGCCAACCCGCACCCGAGCGCAGTACATAACACCACCCACCAAGGTTAGACAAGTTTATAGACAGGCTAGGACACGTTCATGAAACAAACATTTACAACTAAGGTCAGATTTAAGGGTCCTTTTATTATTTTCATTTCGGTTTTTTCCTGATTATTTTTTTTAAATATGATTTTTCCTTAATTTAAACCCCAAAGCCGAAGGCCCCTTCCCATCGGGTGTCGCAGTTTGACGTTGTTGTGTTGCTTGGAGCATGCTTCTATCATTTTGTTATCACGTGTTCTGTGTCATTGTGGTTGAAAGACTTTCTTTAAGACTTTGAATATATACAAACTCGTGATTATTGTGTAGTTAGTCAATGTGTACAGTGCATATTATTAGTATTATAATAATTATTAACCTCATACATATTATAAAAGTATATTATTCAGATATGCCTTTGAACTTCGACCTGTCTCTTAACGTATTGCAAGGACTGCCGATTAACACATTTGTACCATCCCGTTGCATTGGGATAGCACAGATGATCAACGGAGGGTCATTTTCAATTTGCAGTCGTGCCGCCCCTCCGCATGCCCCCGCCCACTGCCGGCGGCATCAACGAGCCGCAGGAGTGTCCCTACTGCCGGCGGACCTTCTCTTGTTACTATTCCTTGAAACGACATTTCCAAGACAAGCACGAGCAGTCGGACACGCTGTACGTGTGCGAGTTCTGCCACCGCCGCTACCGCACCAAGAACTCGCTCACCACGCACAAGAGTCTGCAGCACCGCGGCTCCAGCGGCATGCTCAAGCGGCTGCTCAAGACCTCCGCGCTGCACGGCGCCCTCGCGCCCGCGCCGCACCACCTCTTCGACCTGGCCGCTGGCGACCAGCTGCCGCCCGGCCTGCAATGACCGCAGACCATGGCCTGAACCGCGGTCGCTTACGCCACCCACGTCGCCCACGCTGCTCGCGGTGCCCACGCGCCCGTCTTCCGATACCCTCGCCTCGCCGCGCCGCGAGGGTCTCTGAAGCGCGCCACTGGACTCGCACAACAAAGGGATAGCATATATGTGCAATATACGGACAATGCCAAAACTATGCAGGATGATGCCGCATTCTAATGATTAGTTGTGTATTATAAATGTAGTAAAATATTGACGTTAGTTGTAAAATTACAAGAACAGTATTCGCACTCGGCCGCCGCGCCCGCGCCCCGCGCCCCGCGCCCGGCGCGCCGCCGCGCCAGCTGCCGCCGCGGCCGACAGTGCACGGTGCACGCTGCGACCTGCGACAGACGCGATGTGCGGTCTTCGCTCTGCGGACGAGTCTCGAGGTTCGGCCATTTTATAGAGAAAATGTTCAGTGTTCAAAATGACAATGTAAATCAGAGCAATACTAAAGTATTAATATTTCTAGTACTGCCAAATTTATGCCAACTGTATTCTAAATAAAAAAAAATACATTTTTTAAAAACAAAATTTTCTACGAGTGTCTAGTGTCAAATTAGATTCGATAACTGTACAAAAATGAACGTACAAATTTTAAACAGTAATTTTTAAAAGAGAAGATTCAAAAGAAATATTTTTTAAGAAAACTTTTTTCGGATCGCCAAATCTAAATTTAAAAAATACAGATTATTTAGAAGATAATAACCAAAATTTTTAGATAAAAAAGTAATAAAATAAAAAAAAGAGTTGATGAAAAAATTAAAGACTTCTTGGAATCTGAATATGAAAGTACAAAATTGAACGTCTGATCACTATTTGTAATCTATGTGCGTTTTGCTTCTATATTATTTACCTTTGGCATATATTTATGAAGGCAGTTTCTCGCGTTCGGCAAATGCCAAGTAGATACTTACACGTTCATAACACCTTTCCTCCTATAGAGTTGAATCCGTTGTGCCAAAAACAATATTTAGACATTATAACTAGAACAGCATTGCCTTCGTGTACGAAACTGGCTTCGTCAATATAAACTTTTAAGGCATTTAGGATTATCATGATTATATAAGTAGCCGTGCCTTCGTCTTCGCGCCATACATATTGGTCTGAAAGAGTTTCCGAACCGGGAAGGAATGTGCTTACAGTTGGCAAACGATGGGATATCTGTCAAATTTGACATAACGAGGAGGGAATATTTCTGTGGGGTTGCCAGTTCACCGGCACTCCCTAGAATACAGGGTTAGAGCGAGCAGAGAAAGGCAATTCGAGAGAGAAATGTGCGTAGGTCTTCGAAAAGCGGGAATTAATTCGACGATCGTATACGTGTGCATGATTTCAAATCATGAATTTAATAAAGTAATCGTTTCTTCTGTATAAAATTTATGTAGGCATTAGGTATTAATTAATATAATTATATTTAATCTGTATCCATTTTGGGATTTCTCTCTATGAGTGTATAGTGGTTCTTATTTAAATGTCGACCAACGTAGCGGACGTCTCGTTATTGAAAATTTATTAGATTATTATTATTATATTATTCTCAAAATTCTTAGGATCGACCATAAGATGGCTGCAGATTGTATAAAAATATTTTTATTTACTTATAATGGTAGGAAATTGCTTGGGTACCGCATTCGGCATACACATTACGATACATACATATCTCTTCAGGGTGTACACTAACAATAGAAGTAAATGAAGAAAAACGAGGAAAATCGTAAAAACAACATATCACACAAATATAATAACTATAGTAAAGCTTCGCAGGAGGTTAAAGTATTCTTAACATCGTGATATTTCACAAAGCCAAAGAAAAATAAATGGGAATAATATTTTGCCAATATGCATTTATATCTAGTAGAATAAAACATTCTGAACAAAGATACGTCAACATTTAGATTGTATCGTGCCATATGGTTGAAGTATGTCAGAGCCGACGCCACATATCGCATTCACTCAAAGTGAGCCCTCTAGCGCCTCGGTCACCAAACTTCACTGGACCGGATCAAACCAATGCATCTTTTTCAATGCAATCCAGTATAATGAAAAATATTTTCGTTTTTTGCATTTATTTTTCAAAGCTAAGGTAATATAAGTTTTTTTAATTGTAAGATATTTGCAATTTCTTTTTCGGAATGTTATATATTCGTACTTTGTGATATCATTTTACACTTTTAATGTTATTTGGTAGATTTCCAAATAGTTGTAACGGTTAAGATATATTTTCAGTTTATGATCAGCTTACGGACACTTGGGCTTTGAGCTTTCGTAGCAAAAAACGAGGTAAATCCCCGGGATGAAGCGCGCGTACCTCCGTTTTTCGTAATACCTCAATATATTATTTTGTTTTTTGATTTTTTATTACAATGTTGATACTTACCGGCTGATTTAATTCCGATATTTAGATAAAGCTAATGTCGGTCCGGATATAAACATATAGTATCATTTTAGGGAGCTTAGAAGTGAAAAGCAAGCGGGTAGCAAGAATTGTAAATATGTTATAAGTTAGCGGTTAACACATAATTACATCGTGGCATTGTTTGGGAATATACGCCTCGTGATATTATTAACTAAAATAGTAAATAGATAAAATCATTAATGGAAAGGATTTTTATATATTCTAATAATGGATAATTAATAGTGAAACTTAGACTTAGTCTTTCCATAACTTTTTAGTGTTTGCGTTTATTGATTTCGCGGTGCAATTAATTTGTTCGTTCGGCTGTTTGTAAGCTTGTTATTGATGCGTTAATAAAACGATCGGATTGTGTTTCCCACCATTTTGTTTGTTGGAAATTTTACGTTATTCAAAATTTTGATCTCATAATAGTGCTGCGAACTACATCTAAAATCGGGGACAGCCGTTGGTGATTGTTAATTAGGTCTTATATGTTAAGTTTGAATACGTGTCGGCAAAATTATGCAAATCGCAGCAATTTTTTTTTAAATTCAAAAGCACCGCAAACCTCAAATACGGCGAAACAATAATATTTTTATATTTTTGCAATGTATACCAAAATACTGCATTTTTAAATACTAAGTTAATAAGTGAGAGAATTTTTTAAAAATTAAATTATAGCGTTTTCTGTTTAAAACATACTTTCTAACTATAATTTCGCTTTTTTTACGCCCGATTAAGTTGCAGAAGAAATATTTTAAGTAACCGACTGTGTTACTAACTAAGGTAACGCACAAAATAATCAACAACGGGATGCCTTGGTAACAGTACAACTTAAACAATAGCCTACGCTAAGTAAATATTGTAAGATACAGGTAAATCTGACAGGATGGGGAAAAAATACTGTTTCAAAACCGGGCAACCCTGAGCGCAATGTGTCAATGTCATTTCTAACAACAGTGTTGCCTGTTGGGAAAGTTTTTGCAATTAATTTTTAACTTTTGTCTGCAGAATATAACTTGAAGATAAACTGAAAGTAAAAATTTTTATTTACATCAAGTCAGTAAAACATTATAATTTCTATAGGTTTTTGTTGTGCAGTACGCAAAATACTGTTAAACTCCATCATTTAAATCCGATTCGTTGGATACCGACAGAAAAGTAATGGGATATTTGTGTTTTTTTTTTTGTCTTAATACGAGCATACTTTGTAAATAAGAATTATACTGTCATCCTACGTTACTACACACGTTCACAAACTGTTTCACAAATCAAATCTTGCTCTTTTAAATCTAAGTATTACCTCTAATAATATTAAGTATTACCTCCAATTTTAATCGTTTAATTTTTAAAATAAACTTAATGTAGCAAGTAAAGCCGCCTGACCATCGGACCATTGTTGGAAATTATATAATATTTATTTCGATAAATGTAACGTATACGGGGTAGAATAAGTTTTAAGGGATTGAATAATCGATATCTTAGGGTGCGTTCAGATGTGGCGCCTTCACCGAGCGGTAGTAGTTGCGCTCTCGATTCGTCAGATGTGTACGCGCCCTTCTGTTTCTAACAGTGGTCGCGCTGGCCGGCCGGCACTTCAATACCTGGATGAGTCAATATACGTGATCGCTTATATTTATGTAAAAGAATAATTATAGATATTGTCAAACAAAGCTATACCAGATGTTAATAGTTTTTCCCATACACACATTATTTTTGTTAAACCATTTCCATATTTAAAATGCAATAGTATTTACTGTCTGAAATTTTATTCCTGCCTCGATACAGGGAGAAATAAAATTATAGGCAACACCAGATTACAATAGCTAATTATATAAAATAATTTTAAATTACTCGACCGAAGAAGCGTGAGCCGTTTTTAAGAATAAATCGACTGTGATGAAAGATTTCAATTTGTAACTGGAAATATGTTAGATGTTTTTTTCTTTCATATAATACCTTGAGGGCACAAGGATTTGTTTTCAGTAGAACATCTTAGTCTTTTCCTCAAATAAGTGCTTTTCAGTGCTTTAAATGTTTTAGTACTTACAGTTGTATATTATAGTAAAACTATTATTTTCTGAACCAATGCCCATTGTCCAAAAGGTCTTTTAAATGATGTCGTTTTATTCTTAAGTCAATAGCTTTAATATATACAGTATCTTCCAGTCTTATATAAATATTATATATACCAGTTCTAGCAATAGTTTTCAGTCTGCCATAGTACCTCAATAATTATAACATTTATATGTATTTAAATGTAACTTAAGCAGGAGATCGCTACTAGCTCGTTCAACTTATAATAACAATGTTATTTGCAGTATTTTAGTTGTTAAAAGTTATTGTTGTTAACATTACTATAGTTTACTCGAGGTCTTCACAAATCCCTCGAAACTTTAATGCCACAGATAGAGTAAGCATTACTTATTCTCTCTCTCATTTTACTTAATTTCTTTTTTGCAAGAGTTATCCACATTCCCAAGACCTGTTTAATTGTTAACGAATCAACATTCAATTCGTTCAAAAATAATTTAAACACTCCAATACCTTTCCGTTATTTTGCTTGAAAAAATCTGACCTACACATTTCGTGATAATTCATCTAAAAATAATTCCCATACATTCTTAATCCTTATCCTCGTAAGAAAGCATGAGCTTACTCTACATTATAGGAATAAAATGGTTGTTGTTAATGATAGATCGCTAATGTTATAGTAAAGGGCGCATCAACACCGCGCGGCTCTCTTCTACCACACTAACTAGTTACATATAAAATATAGTTCCGTAACTCGAAGTGCACTTACAATCTCTATATAAAAATAAGTATTATTAACTAAGTAACCGCTTCTTCGGTCGAGCTCTCGTTGATAGCCAGTCTTGCAGCAACTAAATAAAAGTATTTACAATTTATTCACTAACGACATATACTTACAGTTATACTAGAAAGTAACTTTTTTATCTACAGATAATGAAAATATACGGTGCGATTACGCTAAGACAGCCGCGAATAGCATTAAGAGCTATTTTTGTAACTTATAAGTATCCAAATGTAATTGCCTCAAATAGTATTCGCTGTAATGTCGACAAAGAACTTTTTTTTCACTTATAAATAATTATGCAATGTTAACTTTTTATATAGAAAAAGCGGCCAGTTTTAGCGTAGTCCCATCGCCAGTTTGTTACGCTTTGGCGACACATTTTATACACAGAAATATTTTTTTATAAAATCAATTTATATGTCAATGTTAATTAAGTGGCAATTCTAATTTTAACTGCACTATATTTTTGCTGACACACTTAGGTATAGGTTTTTGTCTTTTTTTTTCTTAATTTAATGTATGCACGATCTGCGTTTTTATTAGCATCGATTTTCTTTTGTTAATTTTAAGAATTCCTCGTCTCAAGGCGCGCGTACCGTCGGCGCGGCCGGGGACCGATTGCATATTAATTTATTGTATTTTTTATAACGGCCGCCGCGTCCGCCGACCGTACGCAGCCCTGGGCGCTTTATGCCTAAACTAATATTGTGTTACTACTATGTAAAAGTTATAGTTTGCCATCGTTGATCAAAGAGGATGAAATATGTTTTTAAATACATTTAGTTAAAAAGTTTTGTTATACTTTTGAGGTTTGGAAAGTATCAAAGACAAAGGGGTGTACAAAAATGTTTCATAGTATTGTGTATTTGATGGATAAGGTTTAGGTGTGAGGCCGCGTCCCGCGTTTGCGTTCGCGCACACGCACGCGGCCGATGTCGCGTAGAGGTAGGACTCCTTTGAGAATTGTTGTAAGTTGTAACATCTATCTCAATGAGGACACTTACAGTACTATTGTTAATGGGAAGTCGATTTACGAACTGTTGATGGCACTCGACAATTACTGATACTCTACTTTAGATTTTCTCTTAAAAATAATAGAAACTTTTTTGTTGATATATTCGCATGGATCGCAAAATCTTGCCCTCAAATTAAATTTTTCGTTCAATATGACTTAATTAATTTTGAAATAAGCCTATGTGGTAATGTGTTTAAAAGAATGTTATCTCTATACATTATTTGTATCAGTAACTGTCGAGTAATGGCAGTGTCTCTACTTGTTTTGATGTTGTTGATAAATGTGATTAAGGAATCAATTCGGGCTGCGCAGTACATATCAAAAGTCGGATGGACTTAGTACTATAAGTATCTTCGGGTCTGACGTCACGTCGAGGGATATTCGGTAGCAATTGGTTTGGAAGCGCTCCTCTCGGTTACAATGTCTAATCCGCTAATCTCGCGCGGAACACTTGGATGTAATAAAAGTATAAAATTAAATAAACTCGCAGTGATTCCATTGACGCTAGGCATTTTTATTATTACCCTACTCACATCCTCACCTACGTTCATTACTGTAAAAAGGTAATATGATTTAACTATAAATTGTTGCCGAAATAAATGAGTTAAATACGATCATAATATTGTTGTAATGACACCAACAAAGAGAAATTTCACGACTGTAAAGTAAGGATTGAAACTCTGCCATTATTAACAACTGGATGCAGCAAAAACTGAATATTAGTGAAGTCAAAACAAAATTACGCAACAAAAAGGCGAGTTTTGTCCCTCATTACACCTGAATCGTACAATCGTACAAATACAACAATATAAACATAATCGTACTTTGAACAACTCATTAAGTAAGGAATTTTATTGTAAGTATTAAAATACAATTATGATGTGAATACAGAAACCGCTACAAAATATCTGCCATGATTTCAAAGATTGCCAATTTTTTGCCCTCAACCTTTTACCGGAAGTGAAATCACAATATAGGGAATTGACTTTACCGCCATCTACTGTATTTAATAATTTAATAATTTGATTACTTTGAGCAAATTGGCCTTTACTGCTAAAAATTGCAGATTTTAGAATAGATACTGGTCACACTGTTGTTATTTGACACGAATTGTCAATCTGTCAAAGACGACAGCATGACAACAATGACAGCGTCACTGTCAATGTCGCGTGTGTGGTTCGGTAATTCGATGTTTCTAAACAGTAAATAAATACCTATATTTTTATGTGAAGGAGCATAATTATGGATGCATATGATATTTTTAAGAAACTCACGAAAGGCTTGAAATTTAAAAACCGAGTTTTGGGTGTAAAAAATGAAGTAAGTATTTTATAACCTAGGAAAAGTTACCTTGCGTATAGTAGATTACAAAACTTTGTTTAAATTGTTAATATTTTAGGTAAAGAATTCTAAGAAGGACTTAAAAGAAGAAGTAGAGAAGAAACACGAACCTGAAGAAGTAAAAGAAGAAATAGAAATCAAAGAAGAAATAGAGGATGAAGACGAAGTTTTATCATCTCAAAGTGACAATGAATCTGGAAGTGAAAAAGATTTACAAATAGTGGAAGGTGTAAAGTTTGGTGAAAAAAAGAAAAAGGAAAAGAAACACAAGCCAGAGGATTTAAAAAAGAAATTAGAATTAGAGGAGGTACTAAATATCATTGTCTTTTTCATAATAAATAATTTTAAATTTTGTGAACAAAAATAAACAAAATCTTCACTTTTGTCAGTTTGTAAGTGGCATCTATGAAGCAAAGAATTTAGGATTTACTTCAGTATTCTGCCATGTCATTAACATTAAAAAAAATAGTAAATAATGAAATGTTTATTTTCTAGCAAAACCGTTTCCGCAATGAACATGGTATAAAAGCAGTTGGTCGGCATATACCAAGTGCATTAAAGGATTTTGCAGAACTAACAAGCAGATATAATGTGAAGCAAGCACTAGTAGATACAATAACACAGTGTGGATATACGGAGCCCACACCGATACAGAGGCAAGCTCTGCCTTGTATGTTGGAGGTATGGAAACTGTATATGTGATTTGTATTGTAAAAGATCTCTTAAACTTGTTTCAGATCAATGTATAAATAATAATGATATTTTTTAAATAGGGCTTTTTTCATATTTTCTTCAATTTGTTTACTTCTATACTAATAAAATAAAGCATAAACACACACTACTTTGTGGCATAGATTTTCACAATCACAGCATGTTTTTGAATAATTTCTTTCTTTAATAAAAAGCCCTACACTTATGACACACTTTAGACTATATATTTTCACGCCTTTAAAGTTAGGGAGTAAAAAAATTGGAAAAAACCTCCATGTGAGAAAGGGACCATAAACTACAAGCTGCCAACAGTAAGCGTGCGTTCGCACGGGCAGACTTTGTACGCCGCGGTAAAGTTCAAGGTCAGCAGACTTTTTACGCGCACGAGATAGGTGTTCGTAC